ATTGGGTGACTAGTAATAGTAGCACAAATGTAATTAGAAACTGTATATCAATTGCTCTGTAAAAAGGTGTGAATCATAACTAATAAAGTTTCTATGTTTGGCAATATAAAAAAAAATCAATTTATATATAAATTATCAATTCTTCAATGTGTGCATATAAGCCACAGCCTAACTCAATTCAATCTTTTTTTACCTCTCTCACATGGCACTTTCATATTCATGTTATGGTTTTTTACTGTTTTCGAGTGCTCAAACAGGAAATATTACTTTCTGGGTTAGGATCGCTATCGGCTTTTAGTAACAAAATATATATAAAAGGAAAATTTGGTATCACGAATTTGAAAGCATTTTGTATATATGCTATTGATCTCTATTCTCTATCTCTATTCTTATATCTAGATCTAGATCTAGATCTTAACGTTGATTCTTAATTCTAGCACTATGTGTTAGACGTCACTTTCAAATTTCTGTCAATTAAAAATTGACATATATCGATATACGTGCATTTGAAATTGTAAATTAAAGTACTTTATATTTTAATCAGCATTGGTATGATTTTATCAATTAAAAAAAAAACTTTCACAACGTAAATCAAAATTATTTTTATTAATTATTATATTTAACTCCCATTGCGATTATTAAAATCCACATATTGAAGATTAAACAAATACTAAATGCTATATGATTTTTACCTCTACCTCAGTGAATACAAACTCCTACTTTCACAATTTGTTTTATTACAATGACAGCTATCATTTTTTTAACTAATTTTCAGTTTTTTTATTAATGCTTCATTTGTAATATTTAGTCGTCAGTTAACTTTTGTTGAGCACTGGCATTTCGTAAAGAAATAAATTTACTATTGAAGTTCAACAAATTCATCAATACCTAAGCATTCTAATTCATTTACCAAAAGCCATGTATCCAAAAATCAAACTTGCTTTCAACTTGATATTAGTCGCAATGCTCCTCTATCCATTTTTAGCCTATTTATATCAGGAATCTGAATCTCACCAGGTTTCAAATTTAACACACATTTTTTAATTTTATATTATTTTTCCATTAAGATTATAAATCATTTAACATTTCTAAATAACATGTCGATTTGCCACAGTTATATTTATCAGGTTTACCATTCAATCTATCGATGCTTCTAACTTTAATTAATATAAAGACATTAAGAACTTAATATTTTAAGTTCGAATTTTTATGTTTACTTGGAAACGTTTCGTTAAATAGCAAGTATACCTTTATTTTTTCTATCATTCACATAGTCATTAATGATTTTTTTGAAAACTTTAAATAAAGAAACAAAAACTAGCAAATAATTTGAAGCTATATTATTATGGAAGATGAAATAACAAATAATTTTTTTTTATAATCAATCTAATTTATTAAACTCTTATCTTAAACTTGAGTTTAATTGACGTACGTTGAGAAGGTGTGACTTATACGATTAAATACTAAAACTAGCTAATCTGATCTCTTAATCAACAACTCTTCAATCCCAAGACCCTAAAGACTTCAAATTGGCAGTCGGAAAGAGGCATGGAAAGACTTGGTCCGAGTCTCGAGGTCTTGTGGAGTCTTGCTGTGGCATATTTGGTGGTAAAGATAAGTATAAACCAAAATTATACTTCTATCGATTGTTATAGTGCTTTGGCAGAAGCTATGTATAGTTTCTTTATTCAAACTTTGGGTTGGGTAAACTCCGGGCTTTGATACAATCGTTAAGATTCTTAACGTTTGTCATGTGAGTCACGCGAAGTTACTTGAATATCTACTGGTGCGGTGATCGGCTGTTTAATATAATCTGAGATTCTTATATCACGGGTAAAAATATTCTGCAGATCGGAGGCTTAATTCAGCTTAGCATTAAAAGTTTAATATGCCACAAAGATCAGTCTAATTGATTGAGCGATTGTTACACTATTTAGGAATAACAATGCGTTATGGGTATTATATATATATGTTTAAGGGTTTAAATAGCTAAGCGATTCTTTAATTCTAACTACTCTTCTAAGGGGCGAGAAACTTAGATACAAGGTTTTATGCTAAACTAGAGCACTTAGTGTCGATACTTCTACTCGGATTTCGAAGATCAAAACTCTCAATCGGTTTTTCAACTATAACTGGATCAAGGTATATATTCAATTGAAGTTTTATTTGGAACAATGGACAAAGATAAGTATCCAACTACTGGAGTACTTCTACTGTGATTATTTTGAAGTATTCTTTAACTTGAGTACTCAACTCCAAGTCTGCTTTATTTTCAGTATGAAGTAGCTTCGCTTTTATACTTTTACAGTCTTAATGGAATACAGGTTTAGATCAGTTACATTTAGCCGTGAAAAACGACAAAGCTATAGTAATAAAAGTAAATAATGTGACTATATTCGCTAAGAGGGCTAAAACTATGAAGGCTAATACAGTATCTAAAATAAAGAAGCTATATTTAATAACGTGACTTAAGTCACTAAGTCGGTTAAATCTAACTAAACAAACTGATTGAACCAATGCTATACTTGAAGTTAAGTAATCTATAATTTATATTGATAAAAATAGAATAACATAATGATAGAATAGGAATATAATAATAATAATAATAAAATTGTTGTAGAGCCCCCCTCACAATGTATATACAATACATTACATATTAATCTGTATAATTTTTAAAACTATATATGTTGCATTTTAATCAGTATAAATTTTAAACTCAGGTACGTTAATTTTAAATTAACATTTACTTAAGAGCAACATACAACAGTAATACTAGAATAATAAAACCAGCTGTAAAAAAAACTAATTACCGGAATTTTTATCTTTTACCAGATTTTTTTCAAAAATTTTTAAGATTTTTTTTCACGCTGTGCATGGCTGCTTCCCTGGCTCTAATTTAAATTGATAACAAGCAACAAAACATGTATGACACAGCCTCACACATTTTTGTAGGTCATATCCTATTTTTATTATATCTTTGTGACAGGTTTAGCCAAAATCCTTGCAAGTATACATAACGATAAATGATTTTTTTTATATATATACTTATCTCAAATTTTATCAACACTTATCTTACTTATTCTGACAACATTCTTTTTTTGAAACGCTATAGTCTACAATGTTAAATGCTAATAACACTACTATTTAATTATATATTGAATTAATTATTTTTTGCTTCTATTAATATCAGTTTAAAAAAATATTTCAAATAATTGTTTTTACCCCAAAACCAGGTATATATCATCTCTAATTCTCACTAGTACTACACTTTTTTTGTGTTGATTGAACAATTACCTAAGTTATTTATATGTGTATACTTAGTCATGCAAAAAATTGTTGCAATACCAACTAGGAAATATATGTTATGAGACTCAATGGGCTCATAATCACTATTTGATGGCTCAGTATTTAAACAAAGGTGTTTTGTTCAGTCCGCAAACAAATAATCTATACACTTTGCATATACATAACATTATTCTATTATTTTCCATTAACTCAAAACATACATTCACATTTATACCACTATTACTCTATTTTCACACTTTCCTTACCTTACGCTTTGCTCTTGGCAACTGCATCCTCTACCACATGAACCTTGTTACTTTCTTTTTAACCAGCTTATCATTATTCTTTTTTTATTTATATATAAAGCTCTTTTCAGCCAGTTTATTCTTCTTTCACTTACAAATTTAATATTTATTGAGACCACAAAAAGTAAGGAGAAATTTTATAAGTGCTAAATTTTTAAAGATCGCAAGTTTTATTTATTAGTTATATACATACATATGTATTTAACCTACATTTGGTGGTATATAAAACAAAGGAAAGTAAAATTGTTGAACAATTAAATTTTGTTTTCAATTGATTTTAAGTTTTATTTAAAAATTTTTATTTTTGCAAACCTCTATTTCTAATAAAATAAATTTTAATTTAACTATTTTATAATCCAACATAAACATTCATAATTAGTGAGTTTTCTTTTAAAAATAATAAATCATGAACTATATTGGGGCTTAGACGGTTATGTTTATTAGTTAGAATGTTTCCAGCACTGGAAAAGAGTCTTTCAGAGGGGACCAATGTTGCAGGCACAGCAAAAAAGATTCTTGCCTGCTTAGCAAGAAGTGGTAAAGTACCTTTATGTTTTCTCCACTAGCTTAAAGAATTACAATTTTCATATAAAGGATCCGTAAGCTCATACTTAGGGATTGGTGGAATGGAAAAGTAAACTTGCAGTTCAATATTAATAGGTGAGGTTAACTCCATTTCATCGTTGTAAAACAAAGACATGTCAGATGTTAAACTGACTATATTTGATAAATTTTTTTCAGCTGATGAAAGATTAATTCTTTTTCGTAACTCACTAATTACTTCATCTCTTTTATCTGATATTGCACCTGATAACGATTTAAAACAAGGGTCTAAAATTGTAGCAAGCTATCCGATTGTATTGGGATCTTCCCAGCGATCCAACATTGATTCATTAAGATATTTATGTATTTCAATAACTGAGGAATATATAAGTTTATATTTTATATTATCAAGATGTTTAAAAAGACGTTTTATAGTTGGATACACCATTCCTAATATTGGATACTGGTTTCCACCTATGTAAACAGATACATGTGCAAAGGGATGAAGAAGGTCATATAATTCAATTAATCCTTGCCAATCCTTATCTGTAACTATTTTTTCTTTTAAATTATTACCATCTGCTCTAATTACTCTATCAAGATCTTTTACTAAATTCTCAGCTAATGCAATAATTGCTTCACAAAGATCTATAAGCCTTTGGAGAAGAAGATATGTAGAATTCCAACACATAGCAGTATCACTTGAGATAGATTCCAATATAATATTAGACTCGTTTGTTAAATTTGATGTATCCTTTTTTTTATTTAGTTCATTTTGAATCTTATGAAATCGTGATCTATATTTATCACGGTTAACAAGAAAATTATTTATTACTTTGGCTTTTTCAACTAAGGCAGTGCATTTTTTTAACCCATTCATTATTGCAAGATGAATTGTATGGGCTGCACACCCAAAGTGAGTGCCCAATTGCCTTTAACATTGATACAGCATTATCTGTAGTTACTGAAAACAATTTATCTTCTATATCCCAATTCGTAAGAACCTCACATAAAAAGTCTTCAATACAATCACCCATATGAGGGTATTCAAAATTTTCTATTGTAATTAATGCTTGATGTATTACAAAGGTTTCCATAAGCCAATAAGTAGTTACTCCAATAATGGAACATGATTTTGCATCCACAAATCTGTTGTAAAACAGACAGATATCATTGTTTTATTTATTAGTATATTCAAATTTGATTGTGTGTATATTGTTGACTTAGCAATTTTATTTTTTATTGTATTAGTGCAGGGAGCTGCAAACCGTGAATTAATTTTGTAACAGAAATCTTTGAATCGGTCATGATTAATACAGTCTAAAGACATCATTGCCTCAGTTAACCAAGCTACTAAATGATAGGTAACACAGTTCTGTTTTTCTTTAAAAAGTGGTTGAGTTATTTCAAACATAAAATTAATTGTTTTTTGCATTTTTGTAATATTAGTATTTTCACCTGAAAATACTATAGGAGCATCTAATTTTTGATCTTTAAAAATTCTGTGCACAGTACGTAGGTGTGAAGCAATGTTGGTAACCAAAGTAGAAGGTTGAAATATGGTTGTACATTTCTCAATATTACCATTACCATTATCTATTTGTACTTTGCAATATTTAAGCTTCGTAACTTTATCCCGTTTTGTATAATGCCATACACAGCTTTTATTTGATTTTTTTCTATTAGTAGGCATTATGTTTTTTCTTTTTGCAAATATTTGTGAAGAATGAGATACAGTAGGGAATGAAGATGCTTCTGCTGATGTTTTATTTTGTTCAGGAATTATATTATCATCAGATTCTTCTGGGTCAAAACATTCGCTTTTAGTAACACCCTCATATGACAAGAAACTATCTAGAGAGGTTTGTCTTTTTAATAATTGTGTCTGTTTTATTTCAAGAGTTTTGTGATTAGAAAGTGTAGTATAAGATAACCCTATAGTATTTGATAAGTTGGACATCATAGTATAAGATAAATCGATTTAGAAAAAAAATGCTTCTTTATATAAAAGCGATAAATAAATAAAGAGATTTATAATATTTATTTGAAAAAGCGCATAAAATATATAATTAATAAGGGTCAAGTTTTATTTTGATATTTACATTAATTAAAATCATAATAAATTTTAAAACCATAGAATAATTGAAATGTTATTTATTAATATACATATAAAATACATTGCGGGATTGCTTATTTAAATTACTATTTAAAACATCGCATGATCTTTTATTGATTTAAAACAGCTAATAAAATTTTTTTTATCTAATTCTAATTGCATTACTTATTTTGTTGTTATTAGTAAGAGTTGATTGAACAAGCAGCACGCAATTTATCTCCTGCTTTAGAATAGATTAGCATTTTTAAAGTTTTTTGAAACCTGGTTTCAAACTAATTAATAAAAATAAATTACCGTTACTGTAAAAAAGTAAAGTTTTACATGCTTTGATCAAGTTTTATTTAATACTACATGCATTTATGAAAAAGGCTAAATGCTTACGATCTTTAAAAATATAATATTTGGGTAAGCTTGCCCAAATTGGGCCTTTAGTCGACTAAGCCAGCTTTTTGTAAATTCAACCAACTTAGCTGGCTAAGTCAACTAAGTTGACTAACCCCGAATTGACTAATATCCCTAACAAATTATAGCCATGTGTCTTTACAAAAACAGAACATGAAATAGGCAAACCTTATAGACAAAATAGACTAGCAAGCTACTTGGCTTTATCTCAACAACAACCAAAAAACCTTATATAACTATACTAGTCTTAAACTCAATCATGCAAAAGCATTTAAAATAAAAATACTTTTAACATAACTTCCTACCTACTATCACTTTCATGTAACTTCATACAAACACTTTCACTCCCCCAACTATTTCAACTGTACAACCCAGATACACCCACACACTGGTTTACATGCCTACAATCTAATACTCTCAACCATATAATACTTTCATCTATACTCGAAGTACTTCATAAAATACTTTCTACACAATCAACTTCTACTTATGATACTTTGACCAACATGCTCTACTCACATCCCGCATTTAATTCCTCTCAGTCTACCAATAACTTTTATTTCAATACGACTTTACAAGGCCTTATCCCAGTCCCACTAATACAAGCTCTTCAATCTGAGAAGGTATCGTATAAAGAAGCATCCCAAACAATAATAAAAATCCTACTACACATAACAGATAGCTCTATGAGCAAATATAGAAGCCATATGCTGCCAAGCTAGCCTTATGGAAAAAACAGCACAAAGTATCTACAAGATCTTTAGGCAAACCTCCCCCAATAGAAGGCAACCAACCTTGAAATTAAACAGAAAAACATATACTTATAGTTGCCTTTGTGGACAACCAGACCAACTTCATAAAGAAAACAATATATGCCCACCAGTTGGGCTAGCTACAAAAAAGTTTAATAGCTGGAGCTCTACATGGGTTTCTTCCAGTAAACCCATTAATTCTATAC